AACGCAGTCCTTGCCATCCCCAATTGGCACAGCTGCCGACACCGGTCAATTCGTCTGCCACATCGTCTGCTGCAGGCGTGGAGAAGGCGGGTTTCGATCCGCCCGTCATCTTCTCGCGTGTCGCATGCGGTGGTGCAGGCAAGGAGAGACCTCGTTTCGTTCCCCACCACCACCATCATCATTACCGGCAGCAGCAGCAGCAGCAGCAGCAGCAGAAACATTCAATTGAGGGGGTTGGGAATATGCAGTCGCAAGTGATGTCTAACGTGATAACAGTGCCACCTCCACAACCGACGCCTCCCACCCACCTCCCCAGGGTGTCCCAACAACTGCAGCTGCAGCCGCAGCCGCAGCCACACCAGCAACACATAACGCCGCACTCCATGGGTAAGTGGTAGTGTCGTCGTTGGACGTGACGCGTGGTTGACTGCTGTCTCAACGGGGCTCTATTAAGGTGCCTTCTGCACACCATACACTAGGTTTGGTTGATGCCTATGGACTTGCCCTCACTGAATGGACTTTGCTGATGTTTTTAATCATCACTTGTCTTCTAGGCCAGTTTTAGTTTGCGTCTGAATATCGGTGTCCGGCGGAGTGTTCGGCGGAGCGTCCGGCGCAGAACCTGATCTCAAAGAGTCAGCCAGGTCACTACAACGTCGCGCATTTCTGCCCCGGGTATTTAAGCGTTTGGCAACCGGCAACTGGGGCTTATAGAGCCTTGACGACAGGAGGTAGAAGCGACTATTCTCAGTTGATGCCACTACAGCGCTCTGGTTTTTATGAGCAGGCACCAAGACTGCAAACGTCGCCACATGTGACATCGCAGAATCCACAATATAACCCATACGGTATGCCCCTCCAGTCGCTTTATTCGGGATATCATCCCCCTCCTACTCCTCACTCTCACGTTGCGCGTCACATGCGTCGTGATGGTGGTAAGTAGAGGTTTGACGTCTGACGCGATAACATGCTTTTGTGTGGGAAATGCATGTGATGTTTAACTCTTTCAGACAGCTCCCCTTGTCTGGATGTGCCGTGGTTTTGCCAGCAGTTGCGTGTTGTAGTGAATAGCAATTGACAAGCGTGTGTATTGTTCATTTCAGATCAGTCGCCTCATGAGGGAAGTTTGTAGAAATGGGACACATGGTGGCAGCAGACCCATCGTACAAAGTACTCTACATGGAACTGCTAATCTTGATCTTGGCTCCTCAATTCTGAAGCTTACCTAAAGAGGATAGTGTGTGCACCGCTCTTCCACTGTCTAGTCTATTTCCAATGTCTCATTTTACTCCGACGGACCTCTTTTCCTATGTTTTTTGAAAAGTAAATTCTGCTTAGTTGGCTTTTCTGCATTTAATCATCCAATTGGTGGACATCTGTTTAGTTTGCATTAATCTGCACTGACAAGGCGTAGCAATGAAGCGTGTTAAGCGATGATGGTAGTCCAGGCGAATTTGTTAGCAAACACCAAGTCGACCGGCGTGGAACGAACGTGCGTATGCGCGCCGTTGTTTGTCCTCATCGACATTGTGGAAGTCGTTTTTGACGGTGCCAAACATTCGGGAAGTCTTCATTGAGCACAATCTTTGCGGTACTGGGCAGTGCTAGTGGTGCCCGTATGCAAAACAAAGGACGCAGTCTCAGTGGAACACGTGGCGGAGTGTTGCCACTGTGTGATTGCTGGCAGTACGTGTGCTTGTTTTATCTGAAGACGATTTCGGATTGTGTCTCTTGGTGGCACATTCGAGATTGGTCACTGAATGTGATTTCAATCATGCTAAAGGTAGTCTGAGGTGTAGAATTTGTGATGTGATACTTCGGTTTCTTCAGCTCTAGCAATAAAGGGTTTGTCGCCTTCAGGAGCCTAGTCTGCACACTTGGGTTATTGTGTGATTGTCAGTCTGGTGAAGTTGCCTGGGTTTTCTGAGAATAGCTTTGACACCTCAATGACTACACAGACATAGTAAAATCGTTCGTGTTGTGTTTAGTTCCGATCGGATTTGATGAGAAGAAACGCATTATGATTCTGAGGTCAATGCCAGGTTTCATTGGTCAGAGCGCTAGCATTGAAATCCGAATATTAATCTAGCTATCACACCTAGTCAGCTTAAAATAAATTCAAAGGAGCATAGGTGTTTTTGCCTCAATGTTCTTTCACTGAAGAAGGCCTGTGCAGACGACCAAAAACTTCTTTCAGTTTATGTGACGCGTTTGGTGTCGCAAAATGTATTCTGGATGCAAGGTGTCGAAATATGACATATTTCGAACTGCAGAGTGCCTTTACAGGAGCGAGTTAGTGGAACAGTTGACGCAAAAGTGTGAGTCGTTGGGGATGGCATTATTCATGAGGTAGGTTAGATGTGTGGTTGGTCATGGTAATTAGACTCAAACGCGTGCTCTGATGTGGTGTAGTGTGGCGACGTCTGATTTCGTAGACACATTGGACCACGCTGGCCATAGCTAATCCTGTGTCTCACTTCTTTCCAATGGCATACGAGGAAGGTAAGCAGCCAACCACAGAAGGGTACGAATGAGGAGCAGTATATAATGAGCGGCGTGGCCAGCTTGGTGGACACGGATGGAAGGCGCCCGACGTGTGGTTCTGGCTTGTGATTGGTCGAAACAGCCTGTTTTGTTGTACCAGTCTTCTTCATACTGTGGCTCGGGTACTCTGCAATGGCGACGTCCGAGGGCTCAGACATATTGGACTGCGCTGGCCTCAGCCAATTCTGTGTCCCTCTACGTTCCAAAGGCATGCGCGGAAGGAGGGCAGCATTGGTGTTGAGGTAGTTTTGGGGTCGGTGTGGGTGAGTAGTGTCCACGCATTTACGACTGTCGGTGGTTCATACCGACCTCGGACTAAATAGAGAATTTGCCAGTTACGATTCTTCACTGCTGTCAATGCACAGAAACTTTCCATCGAAGTGTCAACCAGCAGGAATGGTTCTACAGACATCTTCGTTGATTTTCCAAAGTCATCGAAATCATCACACATCCATCGGTACAACTCATTCTATCGAGTATTAATGGTTGCCTAAACATATATCAATGCACAAACAAGAATGCAGTCACCGGCATGGCGAATACACTCTCTTATATCTCTCAATATTCTCCTCCATTCCCAACAATCTAGTTTATCCGTCAACACTTTTCAGTCATGAGTTCAAGTGACTTGCATGTGTCCACTTTGAGTTAAGCAAGTCGCATTTAAATGGCGAGTCTGGCACACCAGACCAGAGGACAGGTGAGATGACATGTTATATAACAGAGATCATGTCAGGTGTGCGTTCAGGACACGGTCGGGGTGAACTTGTGAACAGCTTGCGGGGTTGTGAAGGGAGGGGTTGATGTGATTGCTTGTCGGTAATGGTCTCGTTTTGGCGGGAGATTCGGGCTGGAGGCTGCGGACTCGATAATAGAGAAGAGATGTGTACACACACGAGTTGTGGCCTGTGTTATGAGACGGTCGACCAGTCTGAGGACTTGGCCCAGTTAATGCAAACTGCCTGCGTTTTCTTGGCAAGATGGTAACAAAACAGGATGTGACGTTGTCCAGCTGAATAAGTCAGCACATCACATGACTACTTTGGTCAATAGGAGCATAACGCGTACCCACCAACACCACAGATGCCTCTTTCATGCCACAACTACTCTTATCGACTCAGATCTCAAGTAGTGTGCTCACAACATTGCTTTCACAAACCTT